AAAAAAATATATATATATATATATATATATATATATATATTGTTTTGAACCTCTTTTTATCAATTGAAAACAAGTTCTCTCTGGATTACACAACACATTATTTCAGCTGATCACTGACCTTCTAGATTATTGTCTTTGCACAAACACAATCCATGGCTAGATCCTAGTCCGCTACATCTAGATGTCTTGTTGATTCTGCCTCTGTACATGCCACATTAGATGTCGCAGCATGTTTCTAGTCACATAGCCATTTACGTTGAGAAAACTATTAATCCTGTCTTCACCGTGTACGTACCTAATCCAAACATAACTTCAGAAAAATTTATGTCAATGTTGATATCAAACCGTCCCTTCACAATCTTGAGCTTCTCCTCCATAGACTAGTCTGTGTGGTTGTAGGGCATATGTTGTTTTCCAACATAGAGACCCAATATGACGGATATGAATTTTCCAAGTCCCTTGTATTTGTTGATTAGTTGGAAGACGGGACCATGTGATACCTTCATGAGCTATGTCATAATGACCCCATCCCAACGTTTCTTGGCTGCTAACTCCATATATGGGAGGATTTTGAACATGCCATTTTCACCTATATATACATGTCCACATATATACTTGGCCCACAACCAACCAATTTTTCACATTCTCCACTGTTTACTTTTCCTTTGAACAACGAACCTGCTAAGTTTTACTTCAGAGATACATCAAAAAAGAAACAATGGCAATTCGTTTTCCTAGTGTTCTTGCCAAGAAAATCCCCCGTCAATCTTCATCCAAGTCTTTGGATGTACAGAAAGGTTTCATAGCGGTATATGTTGGGGAAGCTGACTAGAAGAGATTTCTGGTTCCAGTTTCCTATTTGAACCAGCCTTTGTTGCAGGATTTGCTATGTAAAGCTGAGGAGGAGGTCGATTTTGATCATCCAATGGGTGGTTTAACGATTCCCTGCGACGAAGAGACTTTCCTTGATGTCACTTCTAGCTTGAGTAGATCATAAGAACAAATACAGAAAAACAATTTTGTATGGCAGGAATTGTCAATTAAATGTAAATATTTTCAAGTAATATCAAATTTTCACTGAATAAGAAAGATTTTACCAGCAACTGTTGCTTTTCTTACCAAATTTTCAGTGCTATCATCATACTCAATGCCCTACAGTAGATGCCTTTAGCTTCCTCCTGGTATTAAATTGAAATTTTATACTATCTCCGCAATTTATTCATTGGAATTGTCATAAATTATGGGATGCTTAATCTAAATGGAGTTCATAAGTCAGTGTATCTCATCATTTCTTA